ATGTCAACATTTATTGAGCTAACCTAAATATATAACACTGGATTGACCTAGAGTATCTCATCGAATCCTCCCAACCATCCAATTTAGTAGGTATTATTACTATTCCATTTTGACAGATGAAAAAAAGAAATAGGCTTAAAGAGATGGTTACTTGTCCAAGGTCAGGTGCTAATCGATGAAAGCAGGATTGATACCATGCAGGTTTGTCTGGTTCTAGAGCTCATGGTCTTTCCCAGAGATTGGCAAACCTTTTTCATAAAGTACCAAACGGTTACCATTTTAGGTTTTGTAGGACATACAGTTTCTGTCACAACTACTCAACTCTGCCACTGTAGCATCAAAGAAGCCATAGACAATATGTAAATGAATGTGACAGTTTCCAATAAAATTTACAAAAACAGTGGGAAAGATTTGGCTCGCAGACTGTAGTTTGCTGATCCCTGCTCTCAACAATTATGCTATTCTGTTATTTTTTTCCCCTTCAATCTCCAGACTTTTCAGTGTAAAAAAATATTTATAGCATTGTTTCTAAGCACAAGGCACTGAGCTGGGTCCTGGAAGGAATGAGGAAGACAAAGCCCTGCCTTGAGGGACCTCAGATGCCAAAGATGGGACACAAACACATTGGTAGCACCAAGCTGACTACTCAGTGTCAAAAGAGGGGTACAGACTGACTGGAGCTTTTCCTGAACGGACACATGGTATTTTGGCGCAGTCGATGGCAATGGCATAAGCTTTCCAGTGAGGATCACAGGCAGAGATGGCAAGGAGAAAGCTGCAGACAGAGTGGCAGCACAGGCAAGAGTATTTCTATCCCTTTGTCACTCATCCGTTCTACCCTTTACCACTATTCATTTACTTCCTCTCTCTTTTTCCTTGCAATAAACATACGCACTTTGGTCCAAATCTTTTTGTCTTGCGCCTCACCTACTTTCTCCCTTGCTTTTCTTCCCCCCTCCTTCTTTTTAAAAATTATTTATTTTTACTTCTTGATTACTGATCCCGTTCTGCACCGGGTTCAAGGCACATGTTTATATCACAAACTTCATTTGAAGTTTAATTCATGTACATCAATATAGTTGACACATTAAGGCAAACAACATTGATGTAACATTTAAAAATGCCATTTAGATTTAATGCAATCTCTATCAAAACACCAACAGCATTTTCCACAGAACCACAACAAACAATCCTAAAATTTGTATGGAACCACAAAAGACCCCAAATAGCCACAGCCACCTTGAAAAAGCAAAACAAACCTGGAGGCATCACAATTCCAGACTTCAAGTTATATTACAAAGCTGTAGTAATCAAAACAGTATGGTACTGGCACAAAAACAGACACACAGATCAATGGAACAGGATAGAAAGCCCAGAGACAAACCTGTAATTATATGGTCGATCTTCAACAAAGGAGTCAAGAACATGCAATGGGAAAAAGACTGTCTCTCCAACATCTGGTGGTGGACAGCTACATGCAACAGAATGGAACTGGACTGCTTTCTCACACCATGCACAAAAATAAACTCAAAATGGATTAAAGACTTAAATGTGAGACCTGAAACCATAAAAAAAAAAAAAAAAGAAAGAAGAGAGCACAGGCAGTAATGTCTCTGACATTGGCCATTTCAACATTTTTCTAGATATGTCTCCTGAGGCAAGGGAAATAAAAGCAAAAATAAACTATTGGGACTACTTCAAAATAAAAAGCTTTTGCACAGTGAAGGAAACCATCAACAGAACAAAAAGGCAACCTGCTGAATGGGAGCAGATATTTGCAGATGACATATCCAATAAAGGGTTAGTATCCAAAATATATAAAGAACTTATACAACTCAACACCCCCAAAACAAGTAATCCAGTTTAAAAATGGGCAGAAGATATGAACATTTCCTCAAAGAAGACACACAGATGGCCAACAGACACATGAAAAGATGCTCCACATCAGTCATCATCAGGGAAATGCAAATCAAAACTATAATGAGCTATCACCTCACACCTGTCACAGTGGCTAAAATAAAAAACACAAGAAACAAGAAGTGTTGGCGAGGATGTGGAGAAAAAGGAACCCTTGTGCACTGTTGGTGGGAATGCAAACTGGGGCAGCCACTGTGGAGCCACATACTCCATACTGGGTATGGAGGTTCCTCAAAAAACTAAAAATAGAACTACCCTACGATCCAGCAATTGCACTACTGGGTATTTACCCCCAAAATACAAAAACACTAATTCAGAGGGACACATGCACCCCAATGTTTATTGCAGCATTACCTACAATAGCCAAATTATGGAAACAGCCCAAGTGTCCACTGACAGATAAACAGATAAAAAAGATAAGGTATAGATATAGAATGGAATATTGTTTAGTGATAAAAAGAATGAAATCTTGCCATTTGCAGCAACATGGATGGAGCTAGGGAAATAGGTGATGGAGATTAAAGAGTACATTTATCATAATGAGCACTGAATAATGTATAGAATTGTTGAATCACTATATTGTACACCTGAAACTAATATTACACTGTATGTTAACTGTATTGGAATTAAAATAAAAACAATTAATGAAAAAAGAGAAAGGGAAAAAAGCATACTTGGATTGAAGCTCAAAAAAAAAAAAGGAAAGGAAAAAATGCCATTTCACACAAGTGAAATATTAACTTAATTCTGTCAATTCAGTCAAGGTTGATATCCCCTAGTCGATTCTGGGCAGTCAATAACATCCACTGTTTGACCAATTTAATCTCCTTTTGTTTCCCATACTTGCCCATACTACTAGTCTGTAATGCACCTCTCTCTTTTAATCTTCTTATAATTTTTTTCTTCCTCTCTTCCATCCTTCCTCTTTCCTGTACGTTTTGGATTGGTGTCCTTTTTTTTCCTGGAGGCATGTTATTTTCTTTCTCCTTTCTGAAAATATCTTTAAAAAAATTCTTTGTTCATGAATTCAACTAATATTTGTTGGGAAATTACCATGTGGCAGGTCCTTCCCTAGGTGTGGGAATACATTATAGCAGTAAACAAAATAGATAAGTAAACTATGATATAGAAAGTGTTAAGTGCTATGGAGAACAGTTTCTTAGAATCAGGAATTCGGGTGGTATGTTTACAATTTTAAAAATCAACCAGGGAAGCTCATTAAGAGATCACTTCAGCAGATAGTTGAAGGAAGCAAGTACCAGCTGGGAGAGTGTGGAAAGTTCCACGCAAAAGGAATAGCATGTGCGAAGTCCTCAGGGAGGAGCGTACTTCCCCTGGTGGAGGACTACAAGGAGACCAGCCTGGGAGGAAGAGACAGAAGTGATCAGGGGTAAGCAGGAGGAGGGACACAGACTATTTAGGGACTTCTCCATTGGAAGAATTTTGGCTTTTACTTTGAGTAAAATGGAAATCCTTTAGAGGGTTTTGAGCAAAGTGAAATGTGGACTTACACTTTTTAATTTATTTATTTGACAGAGAGATAGCACAAGTAGGCAGAACGGCAGGTAGAGGGAAAGGGAGAAGCAGGCTCTCTGCTGAGCGGGAGCCCGAAGTGGGGCTCGATCCCAGGAGCCTGGGATCATGACCTGAGCGGAAGGCAGCCGCTTAACCGACTGAGCCACCCAGGCGCCCCTGGACTTACACTTTTAAAAAGATCTAGAATATAGGGAGGCAAGAGAAGAAGCCAAGAAACCAATCAGGATATTGCAACATTTCAGGCAATAAATTTGAATATTATGGGGAATGTTTTCTGAAGCATCAGAGTAGTTACAATTGAGGATAGAAAACTAAGGGGCAAGATCTTGATGCATGACAATACATTTGACCAGTCCCTGCTCCTCAAGGAAATACTGAGTGATTTTGCCCTGCTAGTCTCAAGATTGTTAAACATTTTGAATTGTCTTTTGCACTTCTAGGTGATCTAATGCCTGGTACATAATTGGCACACAGGAATGTTTCTGAAATGAACATGCAGGCAGCTGAACCGGTAATGTTGAATTACTTTATCATGTAACTTGCCCGTCCGTGATATATTTCTCTTGCATACTCTGGTGGTGTTTACTGTGTCTTTAAACTTTCCTTAGCAAAGAACATCAAAAGTGCCACATTATAAACACACTCCTACTCTTCAAATCGAAATGTCCCATAGCAATTTGTACAGTTCTCTGTCATAGCAGTTATCATTTGCCTCTTTTGTCTTGAGTTCCTTCAAGGTTGGGGTCCCTCCACCTAGCACAGGGCTTGGTGACAATATTGAAAGCATACATAATGCGATAAAGGGCAGTGGAAAGAAAATACACGAATTACCAACAACCAGCCACAGAACTTTGTCTGATTCTTGAAAAAATATATTCATTTCCCTTAGAAAAAAACAATTCTTACCCTACTGCTGCAGAATTCAGCTACTTGGCTTCTAATTCTATTTTAAGCCCTGGATGAACTAGAGCAACGTATTGTCACCCTACCTGAGGTGCCTGGTAAATGATCTGGTATCACCAGTAACCGATCACGAAGTACTGGGAGCTGAGCTCTCAGGGTCTGAGACTTGCACTGTGCTGACAGACTGCTCCACTTCCCAGTTGGGTCCATGTAGGGGTACCAATCAACCCAATTCAACAGCAGGATGAGGTCTTCAACCTCATCCTTAAAATGAGCCTCCGACGACTCTCTGACACCCCCCACCCCCTCCCACAGGCTCCTCCACCCCCACACCTCCCTCAGAGTGCACCTGTCCCTGTACCCCTTCTTGCTCAGGCCCCTCCCCCGCCCCATCCCCCCTCAGGGCGCACCTGTCCCTGTACCCCTCTTGCCCGGGCCCCCCACGCCCGCATCTCCTCCTCAGGGTGTACCTGTCCCTGTCCCCGCACCGGCCAGGCTCTTCCTCCCCCACCCGCATCTCCCCCTCAGGGTGAGCCTGGGGCCCCGGCTCCTCCTCTCAGACCCCACGCCCTCCCGTCGCCCCTCCCCCTCCCTCCCCCGAACTTCCGCTCGCACCCCCTCCCCTCAGGCGGGACTTCCGCTCGCGCCCCCTCCCCCCCCCGCCGCGTCGTCCCTGTTGCCGCCCGAGGGGAGGCTGGAAGCCTGTCCTCGCGCTCTCCCTCCGGGTCTGAGCTGCAGCGGCGCGTAGGCGGAGGCGGCGGCGGCGTTGTGCAGCGGCCGCGGGGCGCGCTCCTCCCCCGCCTGCGCTCCCCCCGCTCCTCCTCCTCCTCCTGCTCCTCGTCTTCGCCCGGCTCGGTGAGCTGCGAGCGGCAAGATGGCGGCGCCCAGGCCGCCGCCCGCCCGGCTGTCCGGCGTCATGGTGCCCGCGCCCATCCAGGACCTGGAGGCCCTCCGCGCGCTGACGGCGCTCTTCAAAGAGCAGCGGAACCGGTAACGGCCGGGCGGCGCGGGCGAGCGGGGAGCGGGCGCCCCTCCTCCCGGGCGGCGG